TTCGGGGCATCTTCACTTAGTTAAGGGTGAATCTGAACAACGAGAATGCATTCTATTAGATCTTTCCCGAACCACTCTTTAAGTGCTAAGACGTCTCAATTTGCTGCACTAGTTATGAGATTTCCCACAGTAGAATCCTTGGGAATGCTAACATCCACATATGTGGGCCATTTAATTAAAGGCAAATCATAGATCCACACTTGGATTTTAATATATTTGTAGCTAAGGTTGCACTAGTTCTTGGGTAAAAAAAAGGACTGATGAGGACATCGACAGACGCTACCGATAGGTTTATCGACGGCGAAATCGTCGCAGATCGACGGCCACGATTCAGCGCCTCTACTTTTAATTCAGATGTTATGATGCATTATTTAGTATTTACTGTTTTTTCCGTTTTTACCCCTATGGGGAGTTGTTATTGTAGCCCAGAGGGCAATGTTGTACTTTTCTTTTTCATGAGTTGATACCTATATATAGTGATCTCATATCTTGTATTGGGGTTAATGAATATTTTGAATGAAATCTTGTTTGTGTTATCTTCTTCTTCTTTTTCTTGTGGTGCACTAGAGAGGAGAACGAGAGCCCAAGGTGAGGGCAAAAGCAATACCCACCAGTCATTAGAAGAGTCCGTGGCTCGTGGTCTATCCCCCATCATCCATTTTCAAATACTAAAATTTATTTCAGGATTTGTTTTAAAACTCCCTCCCCTCCTCTCTTGAAACCGCCATCCTCCCCCTCCTTAAATCCCCCATTAATTCCCAAATCAATGCTTTAATTCCATTTGATTTGAAATTCAAAATTCAAGTCAATTCCCTCCCAATTTAATCAAAACTGAAATTAAATTCCAGATTTTGATTAATCTCCTCCATAATCATCTAAACCTAATTTCTCCAAACCCTAGCCTTTTCCCCCTTGCACCCGTCGGCCTCACCCTCTCTCCTTGGGAATCCCGCCGCCCCTCTTCTCCCTCGTCCTTCTCCGCAAACCATAAGTGACCTCCCTCTCCACCTCTTCTCCCCTCTTTTCATTGGAGTTCTTTCCAACGTCAAGCATGCATGGCGGATCTTGAATTTGAGTGGGGCCTTGTATTTAACGCCGACGGAAGCCTCAACATCCTAAGATCTCCGTTTTTCGACGTGAGATTTGAAGACGACGCCACCGTTGGAGATTATTTGGAGCGAGTTGTCCCTACTCTTGCAAGCGTCGTCGACCGCCAACTTTCAAACTACGATTGGAGCCTCGTCGGCCACCCACTACCTCCCTCTCCACCGGCTACCTCTCCACCAACAAAGTTCTTCGGCGCCTTCTCTCTAGTGGTAATATCCTTCATCATATGGGTCATCTTTCTCCGCTAAAAGCCTACAAATAATTGAGTGAGACGGCCCTTGAGGTGAACCTCTCATTGTTAAGCGTTGGATTTTTGTTAATTGTACTTTGCATTTAAATTACCTTGAACTTTGAAAGAATTGTCTCGGTTATGTTCTATTGCATGTCTTTGGCCTAAGCAAGTTAAAAATTTCAAAATTCTTAACTCACTTTTATGTGCTAGCATTAAATTTAAATGAGAAATACTTTAACCAACTTTCTTTCTAATTTCTAATCGTAACTCCTAGTAATTTCACATCAAGGACCTTTCAATTTTGTAATCACAAACCTCATTCAATCTCTCGGCCCAATATCAAGATATGCTACCACTTTTGAAGCCCAATCTCTAAAAAAAGGACCTTAGTAAGTTGATTAAAATTACTGAATTGCAGAAAGTATATGCCCCACGACCCAAACACCTGAATAACCACCTTCAATGTGCCATAATTGATTGTAATGCGGTTCACATGTTCAACCTCCTTACAATCCCAAGGGCATAGCACGACGTCACTTAATCCACGATGATGTAGCCATTCATTGGAGGGAATTGCGTTGTTACAAAGTCTCCAACAAAACATACTTTCATGTGGGTGTAGGTGAAGTTTCCTAATCCAACTTTGACAGTCTCCCATTGACTGAAAATTGTCTGTCAAAGGCTATAGCAGTAATAGTCTTCCAAAAGGTACTTAACATAAGTTTTGGGGCATCTTCACTCAGTTAAGGGTGACTCTGAACAACGAGAATGCATTCTATTAGATCTTTCCCGAACCACTCTTTAAGTGCTAAGACATCCCAATTTGCTGCACTAGTTATGAGATTTCCCACAGTAGAATCCTTGGGAATGCTAACATCCACATATGTGGGCCATTTAATTAAAGGCAAATCATAGATCCACACTTGGAGTTTAATCTATTTGTAGATAAGGTTGCACTAGTTCTTGGGTAAAAAAAAATGACCTTTCAATTTTGTAATCACAAACCTCATTCAATCTCTCGGCCCAATATCAAGATATGCTATCACTTTTGAAGCTCAATCTCTAAAAATAGGACCTTAATAAGTTGATTAAAATTACTGAATTGCAGAAAGTATATGCCCCACGACCCAAACACCTGAATAACCGCCTTCAGTGTGCCATAATTGATTGTAATGCGGCTCACATGTTCAACCTCCTTACAGTCCCAAGGGCATAGCATGATGTCACTTAATCCACGATGATGTAGCCATTCATTGGAGGGAATTGCATTGTTACAAAGTCTCCAACAAAACATACTTTCATGTGGGTGTATGTGAAGTTTCCTAATCCAACTAATAGTCTCCGTTGGCTGAAAATTGTTTGTCAAAGGCTATAGCAGTAATAGTCTTCCCAAGGGTACTTAACATAAGTTTCGAACTTTGAAGCATCTTCACCCAGCTGAGGGTGAATCTGAACAACAAGAATGCATTTCATTAGAGCTTTCATGAACCACTCTTTAAGTGCTAAGACGTCCCAATTTGCTACACTAGTTATGAGATTTTCCACAATGGAATTCTCGGGAATCATCCACATATGTGGGCCATTTAATTAATGGAAAATTATAGATCCACACTTGGATTTTGATCTATTCGTAGGTAAGGTTGCACTAGTTCTTGGGTTAAAAAAAAAAGAACCTTTCAAATTTGTAATCACAAACCTCATTCAATCTCTCGACCAATATCGAGATATGCTACCACTTCTGAAGCCCAATCTCCATATCTATGATCACAATTCAAGGAAAAGAGTTCTTTAGATGGCATAACCCAATTAAAATAACTCTAGAGAACAAAGAGGAGCAATTCTTATCTATATGGTAACAATCATGACCACAATGCCCATGATTGATGGCACTTGAAGACACTAATAAAAAAACTCATCAATAATGAGCATATAAAGGATTTCCTCGCTAATTAGCACCAAAAGAAGTTGGAGTTAGAGACAACCTATGTTAGCTCGAACAAATAAAAAATTATTAGCTTAATAGACACAATTGTAGGGAAAATTGAACTTGAAGCATCACTTCATAGGAGAATGTGCAAGATTAAGTACAATGAGATAAATCTCACTTTTACACATTCACAAATCATTTCTTGTTTGGAAAAAAGAAGTCAAAATGTTTTAAAAGATGTGGTGGTTGTGAAAGTGATAGCAATATGATGTTCATGAAATCTTGATTGACATGAGGAGCTTCGTGAATATACTTAACCTATTATTTGGTTTGGAAGCCCATATTAGCCAAGCAAAATTGTATAATGATGGACAATCTTGCTCTAGATTTTGTCATTTCAGCAAGGCAACTTCAATCGTACTTTCAAGCACACCTGATGAATGAGGTAACTAACAAGCTAATGAAAACAAGTGTTGCAAAAACCCAAGCATTTAGAAAGGTTGATGACATGGTTGATCGAACTGAGAGTATGTGATTGAGTATGTATCACTAATTGTTAACAAAACTTGGGTCCTAGTGAATTTTAATTTTAAAAGTTATTTTGAAAACATAATGAAGGTTGTGCATCAAGGATGTGAATCATACTTGCCATATTGCTTTTTATGCATCAAAATAGCAAAAGCTCTTAGTACATAGCATGGCACATCAAAAATTTTGGTATACCTAATTTCCTTAAAATAAAAAGAACTCTCATAGTAGAATCACAAGATAATAATAAGAATGCCACACAAATCACTAGATGATCCACAACAAGCATAGCAAACAGCATAGGGGATACATATAAAGACTCCTTAGGAGTTACAGGGATTTAATAAGAGAAAAGGCATACTAGCGACTTGACTAAGTAATTTCACATACACAACTACAGGAATATCACATTATGCGGAATTCAATCCACTCCATATTTTTCCTTATACTGTTGCTAAAAATTAAACCAAGTCAATGGCATCGATACACCAAAGCCAGTATCCCTTCACTTCTGTGCAAACCCAAGGAAAATGCTCATTTTAGCCCTTTGATTAAACTTAACTTCGTTGACATGACCATAAGAAGAGTAGTTGAAGGCACATGTTCAGTTTAGATCAATCTACGCCAAACTTTTGTCAGGTTAAAAAATTATCACAACATATCTGGTACCAGGGTTAAAATAAGCACTAGGAATTAGATTAAACTGCTAAAGATAGACAAAATAACAAGATAATAAGTGGTAAATATGGTTTAGTTGGAATAAGAAACTAATATCAAGGACAAAAAAAACGCATTCCTTCAACTATTCCTCGTCAAGAACGTTAAACGTAAAAAAATAAGACTTGTTCCTTAAGAAAAACAGGATTTTATCCAATTCAAATAATCATACTCAGTGAACATTTTTAGATATATAACAGCAACCTAGAACTTCAGTTCAGCTTCCAACTAATATCAGAACAACATCTACCCTTCTTTACTCTTACCAACAACTAACTAGATCAAAAACATGATCGAAAGCATAATTTCCAGATAACTCCGTCTTTCCTTAGCATACATGGAAATTGATAGATAGAATTCAGAGAAACAAAAACAGCGACAACCAACAGCCAAAAAAAACACCCTAAACCAAGAGTAATCGAAATACGATCGAATCAGATCTTAGTTAGAAAGCAGTTCACAAGGCGAATAGTCAGATCAAAGGTTTACCTTCCCAGACCAAAGAGGCTCATCGCCGATCCGATTGTTCCCTCTCTTGAAGATCTCACACCCGCTCGCCCGCTCCCAACCTCGGCGAATCAGAAATTAAAAGGAGCGAGAACGGGCTTTTCTCCCGCGAACCATGAACATAAGTGGTCGGCTATAATCACATAGAGATCGCCAATCTCGTGCCAGTGTTGCTGGAATAAGTGATGGATCTATCGGGCGGTTAGATTTTCATAATACCCTGATTGTACGTAGTTAGACGATTATGGGCCCACACGGGCGGCATTTTAAAGCTAAGAGACAAAAATTGACCTGGTTGCACTTAGATAGTGCAATCATCTTAAAAGTAGAATCTATACATAGGCAAATTATTGCGTCCGGTTATTTGACATGCAGACATCTAATCCCAACACGTCACCTCACCCGAACGTTACATTTTTTAGGTGTTGCTCCAACTAGAAAGATATTCTAGTTCTAGTAATTGAAGTATGGAGGGAATAAGTATGAAAGTGCAATTCTATGGCAACTACACCATGCTAAGAAAATATGAACCAAAATTTATTATGGTGGAGGAAATTTTGATGAGTTTGAGAAAAATAAATATTTATTTGAGCAAGAATATCCACAAATTTGAGATCATTATTCAAAAATCAAAACAAGCTAAGTAAAAAATGTAATTTTTAGACACTGTATTTTTATATCATGCCTAACTGTGATAAGTCAACCTCACATGTACCATCAAAATAAGCATAAGTGAAACTTTTAAAATGAGGGCCCGCACTAATATTATAAAGAATAGTTATAACCCGTTGATTTTTCTATAATTTGCAACAACAACAACATCAAGCCTTTATCCCACTATGAGGCGTCAGCCACATGAATCCTTTTTTTTTTTTTTCATTATGTTAAGAGTCAAATTCTCATTTAAATATAATAAAGAGGGAAAATGATAACACTAATAGGGGAGAAAGGTTGAAGAGGAAAAATGTTAGTTATAATATTTATGTATATCTCAATGAGCAATTTTGTCATTAATCCAAGGATAAAAAAAGGACAAATGATCTGGCAACAATGTAGTTGATGATATGCAATTTCATAAAGTTGCGAATTTAGTGATATTTTTTAGAGAGAAAGATAGAGAATTGAGGGTCATAGCCATTTTCATTAACTATAAATAGACCATCCTTTAGAATGAAGAAAAAGGTTGGGAGATAGGGGACAATCTTGCCTCAATCTGAATAAAGAGCTAAAGAATCCTTCTAAAGACCCATGTATACATGTAGAATAATTGACATTTTCAACGCAAGTTTTAATCCATTGTATAAAAATACTAGGAAAACATTGTTGTTCCACTCTAGAAAGAACGAAGCCTCTTAAAACTTAATTAAAAGTCTTGAAGATGTCAAGTTTAACACAAAAGAAATGTTCTTTTTTTTTTTCAAATTAGATTTTTCTCAAAATTTCTATAGCTAAATGGTATTATTTGTAGAGATATTTTTTTGAAGGAAGCTTGGTTGACTTTGATGAATGATAAATGACACAATATCTTTAAGTCTAGAGGCCAAAATCTTAGTAATAATTTTATAAAATATATTACAGAGATAAATGAGTTTGAAGTTGTAAATGTTGATAGTATGATGAGTCTTACGAATAAATGTGATATTGATAGCTTTCATCTTAGTTGACATATGGTTTCATCTAACAAAATACCTGATCTCAAAATAAACATGATATCTAATGATATCTTAGATGGAAGCATATGATTGAAATGCAAGCCCATCAAGTTTTTGGTAGCAATTTTAGAAGCCTTGAAGGCCATTGATTTAGTTTCATCATTTGAAATTAGAGCATTGAGGAGAGGAGTGAAGTATGGTGGCATAGTATTGTCAGGAGAGGTTAGATAAGTAGTTCACAGAGAAGCATTAGCATAATTGAATAGGTTTTTAAAATAAGAAATGAAGGCATCATTAATATCAACTAAAGTAATGAAAGACCTTATATAAGTAGAAACTTCTTTAATGCAATCATGATTTCTTCTTTGTTTAATTTTACCTTATGGAAATTAAATGTTATACTCGCTATTAAACAAACATTTGGTTTTGGATCTTTGAAAAAACCAAGAAGCCCGCGAAGAGTAGGAAGTAGCAAGAGAGTCATCGATAACTTAAGTTTTGGTATTATGATTATAGTTTTGGATGAACATATGTTTAATCATCATAGGTGGATGAGTTGGAGAATGAGGGGGAGTGGTCATAGCACCTGAAGCTATCAAATATGTAATATGAGAGAGAGGAAAATGTCTATTATTAAATTAGGTGTAATCAACCCTATAACAACAAGTCATTATCAACTAAGACTTGGTCAAGCTTTATATGCATAGGGCAATCAACTCTATTTATTAAATTAGGTGTAAGAGTGACCCACTGAGAACATATTTATTTGATGGCAGTGTTAAATATCATATTATTTAAATCTCAAAATTGTTGTTAGGAATGGGATTACCTCTAAATTTCACATTCTTGTGCCTTCAACAGTTAATTAAAGTTTACTATATTTTGCCTAATGTTAAGAAATATTCTCACCAACATCTCTAATCTTATCCCAAAGTTAAGATCTTTTTAGCATATAATTAGAAGCATTGACAATCAATAGAAAGAATGGAGGAAGCACACCAAAGTGAGCAATCTACATGTATAACACCTCTTGAATCACCTGAATAAGTCGCCCTGACTCCTTATAACTCTCAATCAATCTCCAGCTCCTTATGACTCCCAATCAATGAATCACATGGATTAGTAGGGTATCACGTGAAATTATCATATCATATATCTGATATCATTCAACACTTCATTTAAAATATAACAAAATCATATCAAATCATTAAGAATGAACAATTTTTTAATATATCTAAATTTACACGGTGAAAGCTTATGAAATTAGAAGATAATGTATTTTTTATAGATTTATGAGATATAAAATTCATAGAAATCAAATCATTGAAAACGAAGTAAGAGCTTAGCCACTTATAATGAATAAAATAAAATATATAAAAGAATGACTGATAAATATAATCCGATGACTTTTTTCTCTCTTCTTCATCTCTTTCAATTTCTTTCTGGCCCAACAATCGAACGAGTCGGTGGGGTGAGGCAATAATATATATATATATATAGGCCTTGCGTCGCAGTGCTCACTAGATTAGTGCTGCAGCTTTCTGTTTTGATTAAAAAAATATCATTTAAGTATATATAGTTTTGAAAAATGTTTAATTATCTTTGGGGATATTTAATTTTTAAAATTTTGAAATTGAATGCGTCATTATGAACAGTATATCACCTCGGGAGGTGATCATATCGTTCTCTAACGAGTTCATATTTTAAAATTTTAAATTCATCCAAATTATCGTAGTCAAACTCAAGGAGGAAAAAAAAAAAAAAAAAAAAAAAAAAAAAAAAAAAAGATAAAGTTTGAACGATCTACTTAGGTCCTTGCAATGAAGGACTATGTTAGCGTTGTTGAAGGCCCTTATATTATAGGTTGTTATTGTTGGGTGGAGCATTGGGTCTTAGTGGCAATATGTTTGGCTTTATTAGGTCTTTTTTATTTATTAGTAGGAGAGGGGTTGCCTTGGGTTAAGTATGGTTGGTGTTCAATACTTATTGTTGTGTATTCTCATCAACTTCTGAAATTTGGAGAATTTATTCTGATTTTAGTTGGGAATTTGTAAGGGGTTCATGGAAGACATGGTTTCTTTGGAAGGAGAGTTAAGATTAGGCATAACTTAAATAGACCAACTAGAGATGGGAGCTATTTCATTAGATTGAAGTGTTAGAAGTGGGAGGGGTTCAATATATTAGAAGTTGAAAATTTATTCAAGTAGGATTTTGTTACTTTCAACTTGCACACATACCCTTGCAAATGTAAACTTATTTTTTCAGCAGTGAATTTATCAATAACTAAAGGCATACCTACAAAACTTAAAATTTTTTAGATTCCCAAAGGTTTCTAATGTGAAAGAAGAGGGAGATTATGCATCTTAATCCACAAGAGAATGGAAGAAAATTCCTCCTTTTTTGTCTAAATTTAGGGGACTACTTTTGTAAGATGAACGACATATCGAAGAAAAACCAGGACCTACAAACCATGCCATTTCATATCCTCACGAAGGAGAAATTTTAAAAAGAAAAAAAATCCATTATTTAGAAATAACAGTTTCAGAGTGCCTTTCAACTACATGCCCTTTTTACACCTAAGAGGAGAGCTTCATGAAAAAGGCGCTTATCAATATAGTAGCCAACTAATAAAAACTCACATTCTTTAACAAAGGCAAAGGGGAGGGAGGTGTAAGAAGCTGCTCATTCAAGGAAAGATTAGAGGGCAGCTATGGTTTCCAAAAGTGGGCATGTTTAGAATCTCCACATAGCGAAGTTGATTTCACTTGACGTATTTTTAGAAAGGGAAAGCCAAACAGTATAATATTAAGCCTAATATTATGAAGGGCTCAAGCCAACCGAATGCTAAACGAGCATTTCCCATCCGCCACCAGCCAACCGAATGTGGATTTCAGTGGCATTCTTGACGTGAATGGCACGATACCAATTTTGATGTTACGCTGTTCACAAACTCTCTTTTTTAATAAAAAATCATTAAAAATAATTAAAATTTAAAATTTTAATCCCAAATATTTAGTTTAACTTATGCTATTATTTTTTTTAAATTTAATACATTTTTTATATAATTAATTTATTTAAATTAGATTTTTATTTTAAATAAATTAAAATATAATATTGATGAGAAATAATATACATAGAATTATTTAAAAAGTAATAAAATTTGATTATAGATGAGTTATTATTTGATGTTATTATTACTGTATATTACAGTGAAAAAAATAAACTTTTAGGTTGAAGATGGTCATAGCAAAGAATTCGAAAAGCTGGGAATAAAATTAAAAAAAAAAAAAAGAAAACAAAGCTCTCCAAGGCCCAAGCCAACCTTTTTTTAACCAGTTAGGCTTCCGCAGCTGTAGGTTTCTCCCTCCTCGGCGGTATTCCAGTTCTCCAGGACCTAACGGGAGAAAGAATTGAAGTAGACAAGGTCCTCTCAACCCAACCACCTCAGTTTTTCTTCACTCCTAGATCGGCAAATACAAATTTCTATTGCCCCAAACCTTATCGCTCTTTTTTCACCCCTTTTTTTCTCGATGGCGACGAGAAATCGGACGCCTATCTATCGGAAGTACCGTGATGCTCTCCGGCAGGTGCGTCCACCGGCGTCATCGTTGCCCTCGACGTCCTTGGGCAGTGGCGGGGGAAGGAGCACTGGGCCGGTGATTGAGATGGTTAGCACATCTCTTCTGCGACAGGATCGGTCTTATGCTCCTCTCAGCACGGAGGATCCCGGCAGTTCCAGGTAATCTCAAAATTTACTGTTGCCGGTCTTCGTTCTTCTCTTTATCTTTGATGCGAATGCAAATTTATCCTGGATTTCAAGAATTGAATGATCCTTTTGGATCTGAATGAAGGCTGATTCGTCTTTGTTGTTTATTGCTTTACCACCTGCTGCTTAGGCCTTAATTACGTGTTCTATGAAAATTGAAAGATTTACAAGTTTTGAGCTATTTCTTCGGAGGGAAAGGGAAAAGTCGGGAATTTATTGCTTAGGGTTAGATTAACATGATAAATGTTATTTGAAGTTACTTTGATATCTGAAGTTGCTGTGATTCAAACCTTTGTCCTGGTTGCTAACTTATGATTTCCAGGATAATGCAAGTTTATGTTCCTATGCTAATGAACTTATGAACCTAATATGGAATGCTGGTTTGGGATCTAAAAGTATTAGCTACTTAAGCTGATCAACTAATTTCGTCCATTGCTGTTTAGATGATACGTTTGCATAGTGTTAATATATGTAACACCTGCCGCAGTAATGGAGCTCTTACGTTTGGTTTGCCGCCGGCTTGGGTGGATATTTCTGAAGATATATCTGCAAACATGCAGCGTGCTCGAACAAAAATGTCAGAATTAGTGAAGGCCCATGCAAAGGCTTTAATGCCATCTTTTGGTGATGGGAAAGATGATCAACATTTGATTGAAATTCTTACTCAGGAGATCACAGATTTGCTAAGGAAATCTGAGAAGAGATTGCAGAAACTTTCTCCAAGTGACCCTTCAGAAGATTCAACTGTTAGAAAAAATGTTCAGGTAAAACTTTTGATATGTGAAATTATTTATTTTGTATATATTTTTTATATTTGATTTGTTTGAGCTTTTTTGGTTTCATTTATATGAATGAAATTAAATGTGTGACTGATCTACGGTTTTTTGCATTGCATTTTATTAATTTTTGCCCAATCCATTACTCCTTTATCTCCTGGTGGTTGGTTTTTCATATAAATGATTTTAAAGTTATGGATTTTGTCAAGTAGAGTTTGATGGCTCCTTATAAACATGTTGTAATCATGACATTCTTTCTTCAGAGATCGTTAGCAACTGATCTTCAGAAACTCTCTACGGAGTTCCGTAAGCATCAATCGTCATACCTAAAGCGGCTTAGTCAGCAGAAGGAGGTAAATTGGATTTTCTGCTCTAAAATTCAGTTTTATTTCCTTCAATGGCCCTATCCATTGTGGTCCATCGTGATAATGTTTCCTTATTCTCTTTCAAGGGTCCAGATAGCATTGATTTGGAGATGAATCTAAACGGTGGTAGTCGGTATAGAACTGATGATGAGGACTTTGGTGATATGGTATGTTATCTTCTTTAATGACTCATGTAGTTATTTCGGTCAAACTTCCAAGAATCATTCTATTGGTTGAACTTACTCCATTTAAACATGATATAATAAATCATCATCATAATCATTATTCTTATTCTCACTATTTGTTGTTGACTCTTTGTGAATTTTATTTTTCATCCATACCTCTTATTGACTTTAATGATCTTAGCATCTTAAATGAAAATAGACATTTTTTTAATTGTTTTATAAGTAAAACCGAAGTTAAAGAGGCTTTAAAGAAAATGAAGCGTAAAATAGCTATTGGACTTGATGATATTTCAATAGAGATGTGGAAATGTTTAGGTAGGGCTGCAAATGAACCGAGTCGAGTCGAGTATGTGCGTGTTCATGTTTGTGTTCATTTAATATCAGCTTGTTCAAGTTTGGTTCATGTTTGTTCGAGCTTTATTGTTTGTGTTCATGTTTGGTTCATTTAAATTAATGAGTGTTCATTTTCGGTTCATATTCAGTTCATATTCGTTTGTTTGCTTATCGAGCTTGTTCGTGAACATATTTAACGATTTTTTTTTAACTATCAAACAAATACGTTCATGAACATATCTATGAACAAACACATTTATAATAAAAATAATTGTCTATGTAACAAAGGAAATGATTATTTATATTTATTAATTTTATAGTCAAATATTAATTTTTTTTTATCTAGCTTATACACGAGTTCAAAATCGAACACGAATCAAGCTTCTTATCGAGCTTAATGTCGAGCTTGTTCATGAACTTCAAATGATGTTGTTCGCGAACATAAATGAGCCGAACTCATTAGTGTTCAAGTTTGTTTATTTAAGAATCGAGTATTTAAAATATTGTTCAAGTTTGTTTGTTTAGCTAATTAAACGATCACAAACGAGCTTTAATCGAACTGAACAATGAGTAGCTCGTTGAACGTTTGGTTCGCTTGTAGCCCTATGTTTAGGAGATGAAGGAATTTCTTGGCTTACAAAACTTATTTAATATTATTTTGAAGATTAAAAAGATGCCCGATGAGTGGAGAAGGAATGTGTTCATTCTATTTTTAAGAATAAAGGTGATGCACAAGAGTGTGCAAATTATAGAGAAATTAAGTTAATGTGTCATACATTAAAACTATGGGAGATGAGGATGCTCAGGTGGATGAGTGGCTTCATTCTTAGAGTTAGAATGCGAAACAAGATGATGAGGACATCAGAAGATCAATGATCTATGGTCACGATCTACTTTGATTATTATTGTATTTGATGTATTTTATTTTATGTTTTACGAGTCTATTGTATTTCTTTCCGTTTATGCCCTTGCTTAACGGCCTCGTCATGTGTTTGCCTTAGGGGCAATTGTGTCTTTGTATTTTCTTTATTCCGTTGGCTATTTAAAGCCTTCCCCTTTTCATGTAAAGGGGATGAATATTGATAAAAAAATTTCAACTTTGGTTTTGGATCTCTTTGTGAGTTCTAGAGTTCTCTTTGTGAGTTCTCAAGTGAGGAGTAGCCTAGGAGAGGCTCAAAGCAATATTCAACAGCCCCTTGGTGGAGCTCTTGATTTTCTATCTAATTTCTTCTTCTTTCCTCTCCCCTTAGCCACCGAATCTTCCCCCACCACCCCACCGCTTGGCCGGTCAGCCACCTCCAGCCATCTTCCCCTTCCCGAATCACCCCATAACTCCACCACTAAGACCCCCACTCGCCGGCTCATTCCCTCTCCCACCCCAACCCGGCACCAATCTCTCCCTCTTCCCCTTGCCACCGGCCACCTCATCACTCCCCATCATTATGATGATTCTAATCATCATAATGGCTCCCTAGATTAGCTCAGGCAAGAAAAGAAACATTTGAATTCATTTGAAATTCAAATTTGAATTTCAAATAATTCCCATATTTGAAGAGTCCAAATAAGGAAAGTATATAATCATGAGTCCAATATGAAATTAAAATTAGATTGGATTTAATATTAGCTTTCCTAATTCTCAATACTTGTTTTGGAAACTCATAAAACACATACCACAATCCTCTCCGTCCTCTTCATGCCGCCGGCCCCTCTTCATTGGGCTTGGTTTGTGTTGTTTCCTCATTGAGCCCCCACTACTTTGCATTTGAAATCAAAATTTCAAAATTAACCCCCTCCAAATCCCTCATGGATTTTGAATTTAAAAATTCAAATTCCCCCTTAATTATTACTTTCCTAAAATATCTTTCTATTAATATGGAAACTTCTTGATTTGAAACTTATTTGAATTTCAAATTAAACCCATATTAATGAATCCTATTTTGGAAACCCATTCAATCTCGAAAATCTGAATTTAATTCAGATTTAAGCATATCATTAAATTGATTGCATGGGGACCACTATTGTTTTGGAATGTCAAAATTCAAATTTCTCTTCCAATTAATGCAAACGTGATTCCCCTAAACTCTCTACACGTGGCCCTCAACCTCCCCCTAAACTTCTACCTGCTGTCCTTTCATTATTCCGGCAATATCCCTTGCTAACTGGCACCCAGGAAAGCCGCAGGTTGTTGTCCAAGGTGTCCAGCAGCACCAGGAGCAGGCCGAATCCTGGCAGACCCTTATTGGGTGCTGTCCAGGGCCTTCCACGAGTCCAGGCTACTGTCCCAACTGCTGTGATTGCTGTCCAGAGGGCTCCGCACCTTTCCATTGTTGTCCCATCAATTGGGGAGACTTCAGAAGGCTGTTCAAGGCAGCTAGGAAGTTCAGATTGCTGTCCAGGCTTGAGAAAAGGAACCCGACTGCTGTCCTATTGTAGAAACAATCATCATCGACACCGAAGTGTCGTGTCTTATGCTTCTTGTGGGTAAACTCTTCCTCCAAACTCTCCTATCTTCCTAGTTCACTTTTCACTAGTGGTTATACGTTGATTCGCAACGATCTTGTTAATTCTTCCCGCTAAAGCTTAAAGAACTAGAGACTAGAATGAGGGGTCCTTGCTTCGGGACTATTCTTATTGTTAGCATTGGAATTTATTGTTGAAACCATCTATGTATGCATTGCTAGATTAAATTGGCTATTTCACGATCTTAACTCCTATGCATGTAATTTAGCTTAAACTTGTCTTACCGCTCATTGCGTTTTCTTTTGTCGTTCAAAACCAATATAAAGCTCATCATTATTGTGTTCTAACTATTAAGCGTGCAAACTTCCTTAAGCAACTCATCTTCGCATGTATTGTTCTACATCACAAGAATATACATGAAAATGTTGGAGACTATAGCTCTAGTGGCAAATAAGATTAGAGAGAGTCGCCTTAGATGGTTTCAACACAAAATGTTGGCCTTCTGATGACTTGGTTAGGAGCGTAGTTGTATTGGATTTGGCCTATATTAAGAAAGTTAGCGGTAGACATTAAAAGACTTGGTCAAGAAATATTAGAAATGACTTTTTTTATTATATTTAAATAAGAATTTGACTCTTAGCAAGACAAAATGGAGAAAAAAGATTCATGTAGTCAAACCCATGTAGTGGGATAAAGGCTTGATGTTGTTGTTGCCCATACCTTCTAATTGTGGCAAGAGGTTTTAAACTTATTCTGCACAAATTATTTTGAATGATTTTTAGCCATGTTACCTAAGTTCTGCCTTGTTTCCTTCCTACTCCTTTTGATGCTAATTTATGCATCTTAGAGTGCATTTCACAACAAAAAAAAAAGAGTGCATTTCACAACCTTGGTTGCACACGCCCAAATAATTTTTGTCTATTATCAACTATTTTGATGTCAATAGATGCTACACCAACATTTCTCTGATATATTATATGATCATATGCATAATATACACATGCCCAAGTAGTTTTTGTCTATTATGAACTATTTTATTGTCAATAGATTCCACGCCAACATTTCTCTGATGTATTATATGATCATATTCATAATATAAATTAAACTTATTAAATATGATGAATTTATTTACTTTTCAAGCTTTTGCATTGGTCACTCTCATGGTGTTGCATGAGGTATTGCATTATCACCTTCTTAATTTTGCTTCAGTTCCTTTCTAATCTTTTGACTGTATTCGATCTACTAGTGATGTTTTTCCTACTCTTAGTTGTACATCTCCTAGGATTAACCGGGAAGAGCTAAGGAATCCTTTATGAAAGCAAGCTATGAATATTGATACTAGTGTATTGCTTAATGGCCATCTATGGGTTTAGTTGTTCCCATTGGATTAAAACAATTGCTTGTTAATAGGTGTTCATACTCAAATTTTATCCTAATGGCCTGATCAATTTGTGTAAAGCTAGGCCAATTTCCATAGATTTCATAGAGCTTAAAGCTAAACATAGCTATTAGGCTAAGTTTGAAATTTTTTGCAAAGTTCTTGTTGGGATTGGCCTTTGCAGTTTCACCACAAATCATTAGGTATATACACAATTACGCTCGGTTGTGCTTACTATGTATGTTGATTACATCTTATCCATTGAAAGTTATCAAAAAGTTATCTATGAGGTAAAAAACTTTTTGCAGATGTGTTCCGTTACTAAAGATCTTGAATGTGAAAAAATTTTATTGGTGTTGAATTTGCCTTCAATAAATAGATATATATATATCTCAATGAAATTGATTTTCTTGAAGAAACTGATCTTTTAGGTTTCAAATTTGCTAATATATTCATTAAGACTCAAACTACTTCTATCAATGAGGGCTAGTAAAAAAATTGATTTATTTGATTATCATTGGATCAGGTATTACGTTCATTGTAGGATTTGTGAGCTAACAGATGCAAACTCTAAAATAGAATCCTTTGGAAGTTGTCTATGCATTCTTTTATAGATATCAAAAAGTCTCATGCAAAATGTTTACTATACACTATAATTGAGCACTTGAATATGAAAGCATTCACAAATGTTGATCATGTTGGCTCACTTGATGATAGGAGATCAATTTTGGGATATTGTATCTTTATTGGGGATATAATCCAGAAGCTGTTGTCACTGGGTCCAATTTTGAGTTTGAATACAAAGTTATGGGCCATTCAATATGTGAAACCATTTTGTTAAAGACTTTCTCAGGACAGTTTGTTTCCAGTTATTTGGCTTATGATTTTGCACTGTGACAATAGTAGCCCATCTACAATGTCAACAATCATGTGCTTTATTAAAGAACCAAATATATTAAAGTAAGATTGCCATTTCATCTGCGATATGGTTTTTCGAAAGGAAGTCACTCTTTTGTCTCTAGTTTAGAACAAGTTTTGCTTATATTCTTACAAAAACTCAGGAACTTGCACCTTTCTCTTGATTATTATAAGCCAGAGCTACGTGATATGTATGTTCCACCTTAAGAGTGTGTTTTAACATATGAAAATATCAAATTAGAAAAATAAGTGAAGTATATTTACTTTATTGAGTATTGTACTAATTTCCTTATAATAAAGAGAGTCCTCTAATAAATAATACACCAAAAGATCTTTACTCTAGCACAAAGACTAGCCAGAAATTGCTAGCTTATCAGACTAACTAATTAAGACGATGTTTTTTGCCTCCTGACCTTGTAATTTTCCACAAGTCAATTCAAAGTTTTGGATATCAAATAAGAATCTGCTATGTAGGGCCACAGCAGTGTATTTCTAGGCAAACGTCTAATTTCTATTTTTTCGTGGCTACAATGGCGCTGATGATCTTTTTCTATTTATTTTTCCTTCCCTTGCCCTTTTTTGACAGGGTTTTGATGAGCTCCAGATGTCTAAGCTTAAAAGAAGCGAGGTTTTTACAAAAGAGAGGGAGAGAGAGATCGTTCAGGTAATCTATTTCTTACCTTCCATGTATTTCCTTAGTCTGCAAATAGATCATTGCATGAACATCATATTCAAACTTGGTTATTCTTTCCAGGTCGTAGAATCTGTTAATGAGCTTGCTCAGATCATGAAGGATCTTTCAGTTCTTGTAATAGATCAGGTACAACTTATACTTCTACAATAGATTCAGACTTCAGATTATTTCTGACTTACGGTCTGCCGGGGATCAGTTTTTTATTTTTATTTTTTATTTAATTTTTTGTGTTTAAGAAACATGTTTTCTTAGTATGTTTTTTTAAATGTTTTTATTTAAAAAAAAAATCTAAGCTGTTCTTAAAAATAGTCAAAACAATTTTGAGTTGCCTCGAGTGTTTTAAAAGTAATTATAACAACCAGCCGCCATCATCACCACCGTAATTAACCACCAATGCTGTCATCGCCTCGCCGATGATCATTGTTGCTCTGTCAATGACCATTGCCACCGCCGCGTAAATTAAATTATTCAAATATTCAATAAAAATAAAATAACATATTTGAATATATTCATTATTTTTTATGCCAAAATATTAATTAAAAAAAAGCAAAAATTATCCCCTTTGTCTAATCCGGATCTACATTTTGTTCATGTAGGGAACAATCATTGATCGCATTGATTATAACATTCAAAATGTTGCAACTTCAGTGGAAGATGGCTATAAGCAATTACAAAGGGTGCTTCCTCCTACTTTTTCCTTATTATTTCTCGTTTCTTCTCAATCTGCTAATAACTGGGAAATCTCCTTTTGAAAATTTCTTAATCCGCCATTTTTTATAATGAAGATACTAAACAGTTTTAATTGATCATTTTCCCAACCTAATTCCAGGCAGAGAGAAGCCAGAAAGAAGGGGGAATGGTTATGTGTGTCACAGTTCTTGTTCTCATGTGCTTTGTCATGCTTATTCTTCTAATTCTGAAGCATATATTCTTCTAATCCGGCTGGAACCATAGTCAAATTTCGACGTCTCAGCAGAGAAATACTATGAATTGTCTTGTTAAATTGTGTCGCCAAGCTGGGTAAGTGACTTGTTTTATTTTAGATTCTTCACTTTGGCCATACGGATTTTGTGAATAGGTTATTTTTTTGCTTAGAAGCCTAATCATTGTACGAGAATGCTGAGGTGAAATCTCATTGTATCAATTGAAAACTATTTTGTAATAAAGTATGCTTTTCATGCCAAGTAAATACAATCATCTTTACATTTGTTACATTCATAGATGAATCATGAATGTGCTTAAAGTTTCATTTGAGACAGCTTTCTTATTACTTTCTATAGCGCTCAAATTTTAATATAAAAATTCCATGTTTCAAAACAAATTTAAACTAAAAAGTTGCTTTAAAAAATGGTAAGAAAGTTATCCCAATGATGTCTAAGGCTCGTTTGGGACGGCTTTCTTATTGCTTATTAAAGTAGAATTCTAGTACAAAAATTAAAATTTTTATATTAAAAAATTACTTTAAGAAATAGTAAAAAAGTTGTCTCAAACTAAGCTTAAGAGCATCTTCAACTGAAAATCTCATTTTTCAATTCAAAATACCGTGAAACTAAAAAATGCCATGATTCATCTCCAATCAAACTCTATTTTGCCCCCTTTTGCGAAGGTAACAGTCGCATTTCTTCAACAAGTTGGGTAGAGATGGAAAAATGGCGGAGATGAATAGTGTAACATCAATATTGACGTTCCACTGTTCACCTGCAACCGAATATCAGAAGTTTTACCATTTGAATGGAGCTCGGGAGCGACACCATTCAAGTGTTTGAAGTTCCGTTGAAGACGCCCTAAGTGTCTATATTGCAACTGATATGATGAGCATTCCAATATGGCAAAAGCAATATAAGTAAATTTCTTACTTAAAAAACTGAAAATTATAATGAAAATTGATCCTTCCATAATTAAAAAGGATAAAAAGAATGAACTTAAAATATTATAGTTTAATGTTTTTTTTTTTTTTTTAGTTTAATGTTATCTATACAAAATTTATGTTGTAATCTCAAAGCATATATTTAAAATATTTTGATACAACTCGTATCAGTATATCTTGATATAATTTTTATTAGATTAAAAGATTACCAAACACTAATAAAAGATTGGGATCAACACAATAAAATAGTATGTAATTTGGAAAGTACAATATTGCATAAATAAAATTTGGTTCGATCACCCCATGGTGATGTGTTATGGACTTGGCTCGTGTAAGACTCCCCTTAGATACTCGAGCTGACCAAACTATAAGCTCGCTGCCTTTTATTTTTTATTTTTTTTTAATTATTAAATTTGTGTTGGTTCGTGATAAGCTTCTAAGAGAAGTGATGTGGAAAGTTCTAGAAAAGAAAAGAATTAAATTTTTTTTTTCTCTTTTCACAGGTTATTTTTAATAATGCTTATATTAAAGTCATTAGGGACATGCATGTAGGTGTTGTTACTTGTGTTCAAATAGGGCTGTCAATAATTGACACGACCTGAAAATCCGACTCGAACACGACCCAGAATTTTCGGGTTGGACACGATCCATTTGAAAAACGGGTCGGGTTCGGGTTCATAAAAGTGACCCGGATGGAATTTCGGGTCGGGTCCGGGTTAACCTGGAAACCCGTTAACTGACCTATTTCGACCCACGATGTATTTTCACGCGGCGTTAACTCGAGTGCGGGACAGCTCACAGCGGGATTCATTACGACTTATGAGCGTATGGGGTTAGGGTTTCGTTATTCTCATTTCACGCGCCGTAAACTCGAGCTCTCCTCTCCTTCGCTGCTTCGTCTAGGGTTTCCAAATATCGTTTTCTTTTCTACAGATCTCCTCGATCTGTCGACGGTTTACTCTCTTCTCCTTCTGTGGCATATTCTTGGTCCGTGGTTTCGTGGTGTTCATCGTGCACATCTGCTTTGGCTCAACAAGAACACTTACCTCTCTCGCTGTTTGTATCTCTCATCTTCTTTCCTTTCTTCTCCTTTTCCTTTGATCTACATGTTGTGAAATGCGAAGTTCCTTTTGGGGTTAGGGTTTTTTCGATATTCTGGTGCAAATGAGCCAAGTCGAGCTCGATTTTGTAGTTTTCTTTGTTCAGTTTCTGCTGGTTTTTTTGTTAGGTTATTGCAGTGATGCACTTATGTTTTCTGTTCACTTACTGTGTTGATGTTTTTAATTTTTTTTTGTATTTTTGCAAATAACTCGGGTCAGCGGGTCAATCCGGGTTGACCCGAACCCGACTCGGGTCGGGTTCGGGTCCTGAATAGTAACCCATATCCATAACCGGGTCGGGTTCGGGTCAACCCGTTTAGCTTCGGGTCAATTCGGGTTCGACACAATTCGGGTTCGACACGAACCCGACCCGTGACCCGAAATTGACACCCCTATGTTCAAACATTAGGTGGTTTGACCAAATATTTTCCTATTTCTGTTGGATTACATCAAGGATCATCAGCCTTAAATCCATATCTTTTTGCTTTAGTTATGGATGTTCTCACTAAATATTTGCAAGATGTTGTACCTTAGTGTATGTTTTTTGTTGATGATATTTTTCTTGTTGATAAGACTAGAGAGGAAGCTAAAGATAAACTTGAATTATGGAGATCAACATTAGAGTTTAAAGGTTTTCGTTTGAGTAGATCTAAATCTGAATATATGGAATATAATTTTAATAGTAATAGATCTAATAGAGTGTTTGTGACTTTGGATGATCAACTCATTAATAAGAGTAAATGTTTTACATATTTTGGATCTATTATTCTGAGTTATTGTGAAATAGATGATTTGAATCTTGTGTTAATTTAATTTAATTGGCCAAAATATTTTTAAAAAATATAAAATACGACAATTATAACTTACGCAAATTTAATAAAACAACATCAACCCTTTTTATCCTGCTACATGGGGTTGGCTATATGAATCATCTTTCTCCATTGTGTCATGTTAAGAGTCAAATTCTCATTTAAACTAAAAAAAGAAATGTCATTTCAAATATTTTCTAACCAAGTCTTTTTTAGGGTTGTCAAAAGTTGACACATCCCAAAACCTGACTTGGACCCGAAAAAAAGTTGGGTTCAAATCAACCCATTTGTGAAACGGGATGGGTCAGGGTACGAATTTTTGACCTGTATGAAAAACGGATCGGGTTTGGGTTGACCCGACAACCCGGAGTTGACCCGGCTAGCCCGGTTGACTGTTGACCTAGCCCACATGCCACCTGCCAACTGCTAGCTACCCGGACTGCCATCCCTAGCTCCAACGAGTTCGCGCACACCTGTGGCCTTCAAGTTCGAGCCCCGCCTTTGCGCCCACGTCCGACCTCGCGGGCACCTGCGACTATCAAGGTCGACCTCGCCTTCTAGGTCGAGCACCTTCCAAGCCTTCTAGGTCGACCTTCGACCTCGCATGCACCTTTGAGCTCGCCTAGGTCCTACATGCCCGCTGGCTTGCGCGACTCAGCAACCTCGTTCGCACCTCTAACCTTGCCAAGTTCGGGTTCGCATGTCAGGTCAGGTCAACTGATAACCCACATGGGTCAGGTACCGGGCTGGAAATCCTAACTCGTTCTTGCCGATTTCGATCGTTCTTGCTCGATTCGACTGCAAGGTGGTCCCTCTTAGACAAATTTGATGCTCCGATCACAACAACATAGTATGTTTGGAAATTAGAGGTCATTTGACCACTTAGGTGACATGTTGTGCCCCTATGACTGTCGCTTAAGTCGTCAATTTCGCCTATTTTTGCACGTTTTTAATATATGGGTCAGAAAATGCCCCCCAACAAATGTGTTGTCCATCTGGAGCAAATCACGTTTGTTGTAACACTATTGACCGTAATTTGTGGCTTTCTTTTACACATTTAGCCCTGTTATATTTGTTACTAATGCACTTCATCTTCTTCTGCTTGAAAAATGTTTTGCTGGCGACAATATGAGTATTTGCCACTTTGCGAGCCTAGTGAGGTTGTAATTTGGGAGGCTATTGACCTTCATGATCCTCGAGGGGATACTGACATCTAAGATAGACTCGAGCAACACGAGGATATGTTGGAGGGGCGCGACATCTTTCACGACTTCTTTGCTTGCTCCCATTTACTTCTAGTGTATTATGCATATTTTGTTGCTTTTGAGGATCCCGCAATTGAGTTAGTAGTATCAAGTTGAAGTGTGAGGAGTACAACCCGCTGGACAATACAATCGATTAGATCAGCTATGACATGTGTGATATCTTGCAGCTTGCGGCAGATACTGTTGAGCAGACAGGGCAGTTGAGACTACTAAGCCACCGTCAAGTGCAGTTAGCTTCATTGGAGTGGCCACGAGATTCTCATGTTGGAGAGATTCAGAGTTCTATTGGTTGATATATTCACTGGGACAGATACATGCTGCAGGCCCACATACACACCTTGCAGGAAGCTTGGATTTATTAGGCAATGTATGCCTCTTTGTTTGACTTTGGGCGCATCCCTTCTTCCTAGGCTCGTGATTTGGTGGAGTTTTGGGATGCTAGAAGCAACACTTGCTGAGTCGGGCCAGACGAGTTGACTATTCCTTTTTGATGCGTGGTTGATGATCATGTTTTAGTTAAGGATCTAATATTGATTCGTGGCTTAAAAGTTATAATTAAGGGAAAAATTTTATTTGGGGATGCCTCAAAGGGACCTTAAATTTTTTGGAAAAATCTTTTGCAATTCACATCCATCATCGACTACCAAATGTTGAAGCTATGATATTGCTTTACTAACATGACTTTGGTAAAACTAAAAAGGTCATTTCTAAGTACTCTTGCTTTCTCATTCTCTTTTGTGTATGATAAATGTGGTTCCTCTCTTGTATTCTCAGTTCAGTTTAGGAGAAATTATTACATATGATTAATGGACGCCGTCTAGACGCGAATCAAGATGCACAACATCATTATTTTATTATGTGCTATTGCTATGTACCGTTGCGACGTGACGTATCATGATTTTCCTCCGAAAAATATGGTGATCGCACGTAATAATTTCTCATGGGCTTGGGTGACAACTTTATTATCTTCCTGATAGTAAAAACAACGGGAAGAAAAAAGAAAGAAAAAATTGCATTGGAATGAAAGCTTTTTCCCTTCTTTTTTGTTGAATTTATTATATGAGAATTATTTTTAGAAGAATAAAATAAAAAATTTGGTTGAATAAACTTCTTTGATTTCATTTGTTGCTCCATGGATTCATGGTTTT